TCTCATCTTAACCTGTCTTTAAGTTATCTTGTGTTTGTGTTCATGTTTACTGATTTTCCTTTGTAAGTGTAACCGGGTTCTGCTTCACACCACTGTACCAGGCCGACCCAAGTAACCCCTCGACTCTGTGTGTGTAGATGTTTTAATGAAGACCAGGAGTTCTGGGTGAACAGGCAGTTTATTTCCTGAATGAGAACAGATCGGGTTGGAATCAATGCAATGGTTCAGCTTCCTCAGCACACTCTCGTGCAGCTTCCATAGACTGCCACTGATTACAGTACATTAATATTTTAACATTCAATAAAAAATACAATAATAAATGATGTACCTGAATGAGAACAGATCGGGTTGGAATCAATGCAATGGTTCAGCTTCCTCAGCACACTACAACAGAGCGTCATGTTGACTTTAACTTAGCACAGAAAGTGTTTTACAAAATATTAACAAAACTAAAATTGCAAAATTGATGCCAGGCACACAAATCATAAATAGTAGTTGCACACTATTGATGTAAGTTTTTAAGAATGATACTTTATGTGTTTCTAACACTTTTCCGTGCTGTGTGCTGAGGAATGAAACTCACCTCTCGTGCAGCTTCCATAGACTGCCACTGATTACAGAGGCCAGCAACATATAACCAGCCACACAGAGAGGAGGCGCTATTTCCCATTGCACTGATAATATATAAAGCAAGTGGGATTCTACAACATAAACTCTGTTACATAAGGTACAGCTTTATGTTCTGTATCCTGTCATTCTGTTTATGTGCATGTTGTACTGTTGTTGGCCACTGGGGGCAGTGAGAGCGAGATTTTATATATATGCAGCACTGTTCTAAAAAGAATTAGACGAAGAAAAGTTTTCTCTGTGCCTGACCGCTCCACAAATAAAAGAACACAGCTATCTAAGAAAAGAAGTGTGGTTCATTGTGATGATGAGTGCAGATCAAGAAAACACAAACGCAACATAGACATGTTAAGTGCAATTTGAAATATCTAATATAAAATATGATACAAATTCAAATTCAAGACACTTTGATAAGAACGACCATATATTATTATTATTATATTTATTATTTTCATTTGTTTAGATTTTGGCTGGTGGTGTGCCTCTTGATTCTTTCAATGAAAACAATGTGCCTAGGCTCAAAAAAGGTTGAAAATACTGCAGTAGAAAGCAACGTTTAGATGCTGGGAGGAAGAAGAAAAAGTATAAAAAGTGTCCGGTTGTTTAGGGAGCAGCGGATCAGAACCAGAGTCCAGTGATCAAATATCATCCTCCTTTACATACATGACTGTAAATAAAGACCCGGACTAAACATGATCTGTTGATCCTGCATGTCGATGCTTGATCATTTAAGAAAGGATAACCTATCCTATCTTTAAGGTTTTTAGTGTTTTTTAAGTTTTTACCTGAAAGACAAAGCAAATGGTTAGTGACCAAATGAGCGCAGAGGGTCTACATTCAAAGACTCTGTTCAGGCGGTCAATGACGCCAATCGGTGACGTTGATTCTGGGTTGGAGTTTTCCATTCAAGGAAAACGTGACCAGTGAAGAGCTGAGCCAATCAGGAGCAGGCGACCGCCCACTGCTCATTAACTATAGCATTTGAATACTTAGTTGGTTCCTTTTTAGTCTTGAAGTTGAATTATTTTCAAAGCGACTCATCTCAGTTAAAATAAGTCATTAATAACTTATACATTATATAAGTATGTATTTATATGTGACCTTATGTGTGGAGAACCTTAAATTCTCCTTTTACCAAAATGGAAAGTATTCCACATTTTATTCATTTATTTTTATTGAACAATTTTTTTATGATGTTATTGTCTTAAAATGATGTGTGTGTCTTTAGCCTGTAAGATTTTATTACTTAAGTGCATGACACGTGATCTTGTAAAATGGTTCAAAGTGTTTAATAATTAAAAAGAAAAAAGCAACTAAGTATTCAATCTCTGTAGTTAATGAGCAGTGGGTGGTCACCTGCTTCTGATTGGCTCAGCTGGTCGCTGGTGACGTCATCCTTAAATGGGATACTAATTCAAGGATCCTTCAATGTTAATGACGTCAGTGGGTGACGTCATTTACATCACCCATTGACGTCATCGACCGCCTGAACAGAGTCTTTGAATGTAGGCCCTCTGCGCTCAATAACTTTTCCTCTCCATTGATTGGACCAGAAGCTCTCATCAGCCTCATCAGTGAGTTTCTTGTAAAAACTATGCAGTTCGCTTTAGCATTTTTACAAAAACATAAATATTGCCTTTCTTTTAATACCATCTCTCCAACCCCTAACATTTAAAGGGAAGATTCAGAAAAAATGAGGAGAAGGAAACTGAACCTCTGGCGTTCAGGAAAAGGTCAGAATGAAGCACCGACTCTCTTAAACTGAATCCAGAACAACTGACCTCCAACCAAATAACGAGATTATTAACATTGCCATTTGAGACAGCCTTATTTATTAATTCGGCCAATGTTTCTAAATGTTAGAAAACAAAAGACGACGCGCGACGTCCACTCAGTAGACGAGGCCCAGTGCTTTGCGATCTCATTGAGATGTCTGTGATTTTCTTTGCGGGCATCTTCGTTATTCTTTTCCTTGAAGCCCTGAATTTTTCAATTCCAGCGCCGTGTCGGTGATATATGATATAGAAATATAAAAACAAAATAGATTTCTTAGTCTTCATTATAGTATTTTTATAGTATTTAAATGTAAATTAGCTACCTACATTGCTAGTTCATATAATATATAGTTATAATACATAAAATATACTGCCAAAGTTTTAATTTATAGGTTTTATTTTGTATTATTTATACTTTTTTTAAGACTCTTATTTTGAAGGTTTAAGGTAGGAAGTAGATGTAGAAGCGTCTGGTTACCAGGTTACCAGAGACGCTTGCGATATAACAGCATCGCGTTGGCAAGCAAATGAAGAAGCATGATTTAAGTGTAAGAATTTACTGAATGACCTCATTTCTACCTCAAAAGGAAGGGTTAGCCAGCGAGGTATGTTTATATGTTTTATGTTATTTTTATATCGATATTGTATTCTTGACACCATCTCACTAAGTTTACGTTGTGTTTTAGTTCGACGGTGGTGTTGGTGTCAGGGAAACTGAAGCTGTAATAAGAACGACTTTAAAGAGTTTCATTAAAGCTGACTTCACACCAGCAGTGCGACGAACTCTTAATTGCCAAAAGAAGAAGAGGTGGAAGTGATACATACTTATATATAAGTTATTAATGACTTATTTTAACTGAGATGAGTCACTTTGAAAATATTTCAACTTCAAGACTAAAAAGGAACCAACTAAGTATTCAAATGCGGGCGGCGACAGAGAGTTTGCTTTCCGGGTGAGCGACGCTGACACGCGAGTGGACGACATCAAGAGGAAAGGTCTGATGGTGGACGCTGGTGCGACGTCGCATATAATCACCGACATCGGGAAGTTTCGGAAGCTTGATGAAAGTTTCCAGGCCGACGCACTGCGTGGAATTGGCTGATGGATCCAGGTGTTTTGGTGTTGCCAAGGAAAGAGGAGACGCGTTAGGTCGACGTCTTAAAACAGTGCTGAGGAACAAATTGTACATCCCTTCATATCCGCAAGACATCTTCTCAGTGAAAGCTGCAACATCCAGCGGAGCAACGGTGATCTTCAAAGAAGAAAAGAACGTTCTTCTCAGAGACGATACCAAGTTCCCCATTCACGTAGGTAACACATTGTATTACTTCCAAACGACGGACAATGGATGTGGTGCTCAGTGTAAAAAATGTTATGACTTACAAGGTTGGCGTGAGATTCTTGGACATTGCAATTACAGAGATGTACTGAAGCTAGAAAATGTTGTGCATAGCATGGAAATTAAAGGGAGAGGTGAACCAATGCCATATCGTGAAGTCTGCACGAAAGGAAAATGTGTTCAAACTAACAAGGAGCCAGATGCAAGAGCTAAAGAACCACTAGCAATGGTCCACACAGATTTAGCAGGACCTATAGATCCAACGTCCAAAGATGGTCACAGATATGCTTGTGCTTCACAGATGATCATTCCTTAATCATACGTCACAGATTGACGTCAAAGACCTGTCGCCCTTCTGCGTATGGCAAGCCTTTGATATAAAGTCGGTTTCACTGCTCTTACATTCCAGATATCTCAATTGTTTTATGACCAGACGTTTTAGCAATTTAAGATATCTCTAATTAAAATTTGACTGGACAAAAAATACCTATTTGAGATAATTACATTCTAACCAGTCCAAATGACGTGAGATTTATTTGTGGCATTTACTGAAAATATAAAATTTTCAGCACAAAGGGGCTTTCACCTCATTCAGAATTCAGATATCTAAAATTGTAATTTTGACAGTGATAATTACGTTCAAGAAATCTTAAATCGTAATTCCGGTTACGTGTCTCGTCAAATTACAGAACAAGTGACGTCATTTGAGATATCTTGCAAGGAATTTTGACCAGTCAAAATGTAATTGAAGATATCCTGAATTATTATTCTTACTAGTCAGAATGTAAATGCAGATATCTTAAATTATCATTCCGGAGTCAAAATGTAGTTTTGTCAAGTCAAAATGCATTTTTCGAAATCTAGAAAGTAATTACGGTTAATCAGAGGGAACGCAATTTATGTGAAAACGGCTTGCCATAGGACACTTGAAGCCCGCATCATACGTCACAGATTGACGTCATTGATCGACTGAACCAGAGCCTTTGAATGTAGGCCCTCAGCAGTCATTGCGTCACGAATGATTTTCCTTTGCAGGGAACGTAGACAATACCCATCAAATACAAATTAGATGTAGCTATAGATAGATATCTAGAGATCGATATGCACGTCTTTCTGTCATCTGTCTGTCAAGAGATATGTGATCGATAGACGTGAATATCTATCAAGACATAGTTATCCACGTCAATCTATCGATGTGGATATCTATGTCTAGACATAGATATTTATATATCTATATATCTATATATCTAATTTGTAGAGACCCTGGAGGGAGAATCAGTCGCCGAAGACCCTGGAGGACCCGTCGCCGAGGACGCTGGAGGACCGAACGATGAGAAAATCGATGAGAAAACACACTGATAACAGAGGCCCATTGTGCAGAACATTTTATATCACGTTTAACTGTCTGGTCTATTCATGTAGGGGGGATGCATTTTAATTTCTGAGCCTGCACAGCTTATTATTAGCCTACCGGTTTACGCTAAAAACCTCATAGCGTAGTTTATAGTAGTCAGCCACCAATTGTGCAAGTTCTCCCACTTAAAAAGATGAGAGGCCTGGAATTGTCATCATAGATATTCCTCAACTATGAGACAAAAGAAGAAAAAAAATTCAGATTGTCTGCTTTTTGTTATTTTTGGTTTATTTTGATTTTTTCTTTTTTATAATTCCATTTGTTAGTGTTATTTTGAAACAATAATCCTGTGTATATCTTAGTCGTCTAATCATCCCTTTATGATGATGTCTGGTATCACACACAGATACTAGTAAGAGAAACTGCATCTCATGTTGGCGTATTAGGCAGGCTCCCATTGTGTCTGTTATGAATTGAAACTGTAACCAACTAGTTTAACTTACGAATAGATAAGTTGAGAAAACTTAGATTTCAAAGTTGAAGTTAAAGTTAGTCTATCTTTTAAGTTCAAAAAGGAGGATAATGAGCACAAACAACCATATCAAGAATAATGAACAGACTGTTTAATACAAAATTAAAGAGAATATTATAGTACAATTTTTGTTTCAACATAAAGTGTCCACCCTTGTTATAACAGGTAGTGTAGTTTCTTTTAGTTCAGATTCCTTATTGTTCAGTTCCTTCTTTTAGAAGCTTTTTAGTTCAGTAATTGCAATTTAGGTCAGTCAGTCAAGTCTTTGTTAAATGGCCATGTGTTTCTTTGGATCCAAAATCTTATCCAGTGCAAAGTAGGCAGCGGATCCAGCAGTCCCAGGTCTTGGGTTGAAACCTGGAGCTCAGCAATCCAATCCAGGCCTGCGATGCTGTGCAGCTGGACAACCTTCCAACTTGAATGTGGTTCTAAAAAAAAAAAACTAACCTGCATATATATATGTGGTGGGACCGGTGTGGTTCAATAGAACTATTTTGAAGACAAAATTGTAATAATTTATCCCCAAAAAGTTATCTTCAAGGCACACAGGCCGCTACATATGAGGCTTGAGACAATCTCACTAATTTCAATAATTTTATTTATTACATCAGTTCATGCTAATCAATAAAATACATTAAGTTAAAACCACTCACATTAAATAAATAACAGTGACGGCTCAAGTCAAGGGTGGCAGTGCAGTTCAGGGTAGTGACCTAAATAAAAGAAACACAGCAAACAAAACCACAAAACTAAAGAAAATTGTGCAACAAATCAAAAGAGCACCACCACCCGGAAAGTCCACCACCAACACCACGAACTGGCCTTTCCTGTCAAGATAAAAGACATTCAAATTACATGAGTCATTTCATAATTGTCGTTCAGTCAACAATCAATCAGCAGCAATTGTCAATTAAGAATCCATCCTGGGATGCCACGCCACAGACGCCACTCAAGAGCGGCAGCAGAGTCCGTCCAAGCTGGTCGCCAGTCCGAACCAGCCAAGCTGGACAAGGGGCAGGAGTCAGGTTCACGCTGACCACGACGGCTGGCAGAAAGCCAGCAATCAGAGCGACAAATGGACTGCCGACGGACAACCAAAATAACAGAGGACCATCAACCAGGAACCACAGGGCAACAGGCAAACAGCCGGCCAAGGACAAACAGCAGCGTCTATAGCAAACATAAGTGTTAAACATCAAATCTAAAAGCATGCAGGTAATGAGCTTTTCACTTACCACAAGTTCTATGTGTAGTGCCTCTGGCTGGGAGGAGGATCAGGCAGTTTACACAGGCCACCTAGGTGTACAATTAAAGCTAAGCGAAGGCTAGGCTAACAACAACAAGTATAGGAGAGGCCTCTTACCAGAAGAAGGAGCGATCAGCATGTATCAGTCAAGCACACCTTAGTGTCAGACTGGCGCTGCACAGCAATAGAGGTCTAAACCGGAAACACATGTTGACCAGGTGAGGGAGGGCCCCTTATATACAAACAGCGCCACCACCAATTAAATGCCAGCACTTGTGTGGTGCGTTCAAAACCTCCAGGGCATTCAGATCTCAATTAACTATTAAAATCCAAAAGTATGCAGGAAGCAATAAATTCCATTTATCGCAAAAATAACATTCAACTAATGGCAAGCTTGCAAAACAAACATCGCACTCTATGCGACCCATTATAAGTTTGTACATAACAAAAATGCGATACAGTGAAAATCATTTTAATCTCACGTTTCTCCGATTGGTTTTTTTATGTTTCTCTTTTCTTCCTGGTCGGAACATATGAACAGTAATGCCTGTGACGCCAGTTAGCATTATCTTAACTTCGGTTGCAAAAATAGATTACAACACTCACGAGAGAAAATCACGGTAAAAATGTTTTTTTACTGCCAGGGATCAGGTCACAAATCTTCTTTTCTGTTAACCGTTACCGGAATTTATCAGAATTTATCTTTTAGCGTGCAATAATTCAGCACAACGTGCTACAGCCAGCTACAATTTTTCTTCTTCTAATTTTTCTGCTGTCTAAACCAGAATATAACTCACAAGCCACCTGCTGGCGTTTTCTGGTATCACAAGAAACTGATTTGCTGGTTGCATTAAATAACAAAACAAAATCCTACAGAAATAAAATGCAAACTACTACTAACAATAGTATCACACATATATATGTGGGTTACAAAACACATGTATTTCTGGATTCATGGTTGAAGAAATGATCACTTAGTGTTCAATTTTTCACATTTTCTCCACCTTGAGTGACAGAAAGTGTAAAAATGGCATTCACAAAATTTAAATATTTCTACACACAGACATATATAAATATGTTGAATAGGGAATGATGATTTTTTTAATTGTTAATTATTCTTTCATTTTTGTTTGGTTAGATTTTGTTTGGGTTTTTTGCTTTTCTTTTTTCTTTTCCCTTTGACAATTCAAACACCATGGACTGAAGGTGGTTGTCTCGCGAGGCGGGGCGCGCTAATTGGCCACCCGGACAGGTGTCGGCAGAGGTTGAGTAGAGCCCAAATAAAAGGAGCCTGGCTGGGAAGAGGAGGAGGACTGGTTCTGCAGCCACGGAAACAAACACGCTGTGAGGGGCAGACGGAACCCGCACATCCGGCATATAACATCGGAAGTTGGAAAACGGCCCAGTACAGAGGATCAGGCGCGCTGTAAGTAAAAGTTCCATTCCGATTGAACCGATCCTGCAGAGTACTGGCAGTGAGGACGTCTTCCGACGGAGTTCTGGTGCGGGGATGCTGGCGCTCTACTGTGTTTTCTTTGATTTGGACCTGAACGGAAGGGGGCGTGGCACGCCGAGGAGTGAGCGGCGTTGGAGTGTTGAGCAGCCGGCTGTGGACAAACGAGAGTGTGCGCTGCACAGAGATCACCTCCACGAACACGATATATATATATATATATATATATATATATATATATATATATATATATATATATATATATATATATATATATATATGTGTGTGTGTGTGTACCATAAGCTATATTTTCACATAAGCTTCCATACATAGATATGGAAGCTTATTTCCCATCCCATGTGTCATGTGACCATAATCACATGACACAGACCCTTGTCATCGGGGGTCTAACGGGCCTTTCATGACCCGACATTTCCCCTGAACAGTGCATAGCTTGTAAACTTAAGAAAAGATAAACCGATCTTAAAGTCCATTAAGTCTCTAATAGGCTTCGTGTTTTCAAGCTTGCAGTCGTCCATCTTCAAACTGATTACATTACATTTTTTTATTAAGTGAGATTTATGTTTCCATAGAAAAATAATAATCCAGTTGTTGGAATTAATTGCAGAAATGTGTATTCCTAATGCATGTGCAGTGTAGGTAAATCTGGAAATACTTTCCATTTTGGTGAAAAATATTCTACGCAGAATAGATAAATCTCTGCTATTACAGGCCCAACCTTTCCTAGGGGGCAGTAGAGGGCAACGTGTGGACGCTGCAGCGAGCAGAACCGATACGAGTTTGTTTCCAGTGTCCAGTGATCAAATATCATCCTCCTTTACATACATGACTGTAAATAAAGACCCGGACTAAACATGATCTGTTGATCCTGCATATCGATGCTTGATCATTTAAGAAAGGATAACCTATCCTATCTTTAAGGTTTTTAGTGTTTTTTTAAGTTTTTACCTGAAAGACAAAGCAAATGGTTAGTGACCAAATGAGCGCAGAGGGTCTACATTCAAAGACTCTGTTCAGGCGGTCAATGACGCCAATCGGTGACGTTGATTCTGGGTTGGAGTTTTCCATTCAAGGAAAACGTGACCAGTGAACAGCTGAGCCAATCAGGAGCAGGCGACCGCCCACTACTCATTAACTATAGCATTTGAACACTTAGTTGGTTCCTTTTTAGTCTTGAAGTTGAAATATTTTCAAAGCGACTCATCTTAGTTATTATAAGTCCTTCACAGCGTCTTCATCACATAAATATGTATTTTATATGTGACCTTATGTGTGGAGAACCTTAAATTCTCCTTTTACCAAAATGGAAAGTATTCCACATTTTATTCATTTATTTTTATTGAACATTTTTTTTATGATGTTATTGTCTTAAAATGATGTGTGTGTCTTTAGCCTGTAAGATTTTATTACTTAAGTGCATGACACGTGATCTTGTAAAATGGTTCAAAGTGTTTAATAATTAAAAAGAAAAAATGGTGGTGTTGGTGGTGGACTTTCCGGGTGGTGGTGCTCTTTTGATTTGTTGCACAATTTTTCTTTAGTTTTGTTGTTTTGTTTGCTGTGTTTCTTTTATTTAGGTCACTACCCTGAACTGCACTGCCACCCTTGACTTGAGCCGTCACTGTTATTTATTTAATGTGAGTGGTTTTAACTTAATGTATTTTATTGATTAGCATGAACTGATGTAATAAATAAAATTATTGAAATTAGTGAGATTGTCTCAAGCCTCATATGTAGCGGCCTGTGTGCCTTGAAGATAACTTTTTGGGGATAAATTATTACAATTTTGTCTTAAAAATAGTTCTATTGAACCACACCGGTCCCACCACACATATATATATGCAGGTTAGTTTTTTTTTTTTTAGAACCACATTCAAGTTGGAAGAATTAGTCGTGTGAACAATGTGGTCTTAAATATAAATTGTTGTGCCACTGATCAGGCGCACTTTTGAAGTAGACATGTTAAATTCCTATAAAAAGAGGTTTTTCCACAAATTCAGCATCATGCTGAATTTGTGGAAAAACCTCTCTCTTTGTGAGTTTGTTAAAACAATGATCGTTTTGTACTGTTTGGACTGTTTCTGAGAGAGGGAAGCTGGTTGAATTGCCACTGTTTCAAGAGCAAGATAAAAATAAATGTGTAATATTTGAAATGAAAGTGTATTAGGTGTAATTATTTTTAGGAAACTGTTAAACTTGGCATTATTAGTGGAGGGAGTTAACAATAGTTGGAAATGTTAGTTTACTTAAATTGCAATTTTAAGTACAATTGCTGCCTTAAAATCTTAAGTTAAATTAACTCAAAAAAGGAATTGGTATGAATGTAGTTAGTCAGTTTAACTTTGAAATGAGAGTTGAAAGTATATATAATTGTTTATTACTTTAACAAAATTTCACTTGACAAGAGTTCTCAATTTTTTGAGAATGAAGAATGTTCTGTCGTTAGTCA